TCATTAGACAACCTGGTTCGATTTGGGATTGTTAGTACATCTTTACAACTCCACATCTTAGCTCCAATACTGCATCATGTAAATCCTGTATTTAATTTCCAAAGTTTTAGCTGGACAAGTTCTAGAATAATATCACTTGGTACGATGCATGTGGTTTTAATTTTTGGCATTCGACAAATTTGCTTAAGCATTTAAAGGCAACCCAAAGATTGATTGATTATGTTATCCAGCTAGAAAGGCAGCAAGAATAATGAAATCATGGTAGTTGCTGGGCATCGACAAGGAAAATTTCTAAATATCGATTGCCGGTTAGGAAGAAGCAACTTGTGCTACGCTTGGTTGCAAATTGCAATGTTCCTGAAAATAATGTTATTTTTTATTTCTTATTAAACAGCCGACAAATGTAATGTAACGGCTAAAAGTAACAAAACTCTCATTTTCATGTGAAAATAGAAATTCCACTGTGTGATCTTTCTTGTTGCTCTAAGACAGGACTAGAAATCAATTATCCGCAAGAGTTTGTGTCATTGTGGATCTAAAACATTTGATTAAGATGCAACATTACCAAATTTAAGATATTGTGTATATTTGTTGTGTGTGATAATTAGGATCTCTGGCACGCACCTGGCCTTTTGTGATTAAGGAGTGGTTCACAACTCCTTCATGGCTGTTTTTTTTGATACAACAACTCCTGCATGCTTAAATAATAGGTTAGGATAGCTTCCCTTAAATAAGCTTCATCTGAATCTGGACAAAGACTACAAGTCGCAACTAGTTAGTTCTGTTAATTTATTTATTCGCAGTTAGCACTTATCAGACATCCACATCCTCATAGAATATGCTATCGCTAGTGAATTGGTCACTTTTTGCAAGGACTAACATGAAAAGGAATCACGGGGTCTAATGTAAAGGATTAAAAACATTGAATAAAGTTTAATAGCATAATTGGTACGACTTTGTCATGTGCTGCAATCATTAGGAGTCATCACCAATTCTCATTGTTTAGCACAAGTTGAGGTTTTGTTTTAAGGGATTTTTCGTGTTTTATTGCTCTGAAATATGTGGAGGCTGGCAATTGGCATCGTAGTTTAAAATGCAATGAAGATTTGGAGAGGATTAAGATGTGGCCCACACAGCTCAACTTCTGGTCGGTGCAGTTCTCATTATTAGATCCATCACCAAATTATATACAACACTTTTTCTTTTCTCTTTTCAATTAATCAAATGTGATAGTACTATTTTGAGAAGAAAAGAGAGCTGCAATGCAAGAATCCGATGTGCATTTCGAGCAAATTTACCCCACATAAACAGATCTTACCGTTATTTTTTCCCCCTTTTTATGTGATTTTAAGATTTCCCTCTCCGATAAATTGGAAAAACATATCATCGATCACCAGTTATACTAGTGTTCTAAAACTACTTCAAAATTGTGAATAATCTATCGATCATCTGCACCTTAATTTTATCGATTATAACTGTTACTTTTACAGTTGGAAGTTAACTAGTTTGTATGAATTATTGGATTCTAACTTTAATGTTATTAATGTACATCAAAAAAATTACTAATTTACTGTATAAATTCACAGGTAAAACAAAATAACTACGAAAGAATCATATTTAATTAGAGGATCATGATATAATCATTCTTAAGTACCATGCATGTCTCTGTCTATAATTATGGGAGAATTAATTAAAGACTTGTGGTTAAACTTAAACACGAAATGAGTTGTAAATTAATGACTCATAAATTAAGTGATGGCGAATTATTTTATGGCAAGATTACCACTAATAAATGTAGTATCCGTCGATCTTTTCAATATATTTTTTTTATAAATGATTAGATTTTTATATATAAATAGATTCTTGAAGTTTATTGTCGTAGCACCTTCCAATTACCATGTGTTGATTTGAGTGGATGAGATTTGAATCCTTTAAATATGTTTGTCGGGGATTCGGTCCCACGGTTTATGTGTATGAAAAAAATACAATTGAAAGAAATTTTTGTTTTAATTCCTAATTGTCATGATCCAAAATTGAACCCATGATTAAGTGACTAACAATACAGTTTTTTTTTAAGGTTCGTTCCTGGAGTATCCACCGTTGATAGCGGTAACTAATCTCCTCGTTACATTGGAGGCACCTCAAAGGGTGAGATAGCTGGCCCCAAGATTTAACGCGGCTGCATACACAAGACAGGATTCGAATCTCTGACCTTACTTAAGCGTGAATCAACCCCTACTGCTGAATTACAAATATGACTAATAGTTTTTTTTTTCCGTCCCTGGAATATCCACTGCCGTGAGCAGTGATTAATTTCTTCGCTACATTGGAGACACCTTAAAAGGTAGGATAGTTGACCCCAAAATTTAACGCGACTGCATACACGACCTTGCTTAATTGTGGATCAACCCTTACCGCTGAACCACACGCTTGGGGTTGACTAACAATACAGTTTAAGTAAGCACCGTATAACTTGACAAGTCTAAGCAAACATACATTCGACAACTTGAGCTTTCTGAATCGTATTTTGATGATTAATTCATTTAAACTATTTTATAATTTGTAGATCTTAGACCGAATTTAAGTAATTTTAATATTGAAAAACTTTTGTTTAATGATAACTTTATTGCATGGTATTGCCAATAATGCATATATTTGGAAGAAAAAAAATCTTAACCATTTTATATAGTCTAATATTTTTTATTGGAATGTTGTTTACACTTATTTAAATACTTTTATTTTTAAAAATAAATCAAGACCATCAATATAAAAATATTTATTAAATATTAAAAATTCAAGACTAATTAATATTTTTTCAATTCATTTTTATCTAAAGTTTTAAAATTTTCATTTAAATACAAAATCAAAAATGATTTTATGTTGTGAATATTGTTCAAATCAAATCTCAATTTCAATAAATAAAAAATAAAAAATAAAAGAGATTCATACACTAGTTATACAAATACTTAATACATTTGTATTTGAAAAGAATCATTGAAGCTATTTAAGATATTCTTCAAGACAATGTAAGAAATGTCATTTTCGTAATAGTGAATAACTAAGTTGAGTATAAGACCTACCTAGCCAAGTTAACAACAACAAATGAATTAGTATTGACACAATGTCTTTCTATAATAATAACGTATAAATCTTAGTTTCATAAGTTCAGGACAAATATAAAACAAGAAGTCAATCTTGCAATAATATTTGCCTAAATATAAAATAAAATTTGTGATGATTTCACTCAAGTCTTTTTTCAACACATACTTTAGGAACTCAACATTCGAGTTTATACTTTATACTCTATTAGAAATTGTCAACATTAAGAAGAAGGGTTTTACCCACTTTATGCCTAACAAGAACCTATATTAATAAAATGCTAGGGTCCCATGTGATTGTTTCCTAATTGTTAGTTTGCGAAAATTGTCACCAACTTTGGCATTGGAGTGTTCATTGTTAGACCCCCTCCGTCTCTCTTCTTTGAAGAGATTTGGCAAAGCACTTTCTTAAAAATAAAATAAAAGTATATTTATATATCAGAATTTTGAATGTGTATAATAGATTGTACTTGCTTAATAATTTTCCCTGGTGTCTAATCAAGTCGAGTTATATGGGCATTTGGTGGGAGTGATGTTTTTGTTTAAAGTTGCTTAATAAGAAGGTTTGGTTGCTAGTGGAAGAGAGTCAAATTTTGGAAAAAGGACATAACAAGGCAAACAAGAGTTACAATGAATGGGGCCTAATTAACCCATTGGCGACAGCCGACAGATAATAACTAGGGCTTATTCCGCAATATGCACCCAATTTCTGTTCTATCGAATTAAAAGAGTTATTAACTTGCAAATATGTGGAGAGAAGTGATTAAGAAGGCAATGCTTGCAAATGATCAACCACCAAAGTTAATTATGTTCTCTTCATAAAAGAAACTTGTATTCTATAAGAAATTAAAGATATGCATGTGCTGGCGTCCTTGACATTGAAAATTGAAAATTGAAAATGTGGTTTGATAAGTAGGTGTGGATGAATTAGTATGGGTGGGTTAGAAAATCTCTCTCATGTGACTGTGTAAAGCAGAGACAACGACAAGCTTTCCAACCGGATAGTCTCGCATGCGTGTTGTGAGTACAAGCAAAGTATCATATCCCCACAATAAAGTCTATACAAAAATCTCACCATATCAATACAATTTGAATCTACTAAGACAAAATTTAATCTCAAATATTATTCACTTAACCCTACTTTTTCACCTACATTTTACCCTATATTTTACTACCAAACATTTAAATTTTAACATTTTACCATTCTGCTTATTAATTGACCATTTAACAATGTAAGCTGATAATTGACACTAACAAATTAATTATTAATATGAAATGTTGTGTCATTATTCATATGGTATATTATGATAAATTAATAATTTATCATAAATAATTTTATATTCTTGATTCATCACTTATTTTTTCTAACTAATTTTAAAAAAATGTGAAGGAGAATAATTGTCATTTTATGTGACGCACTTAAATAACTATGAAAAACTACAGACCATCCTATCAAAATTGGTGACCCAAATATTAAGTGTAACTACAACTTTTGCAAAAAATTAAAGGTATTTTTTAATGTATTCTTTATCTTATATTTGGTTTTCCACTTTTTTACTAGAGATGTGTTAAAATATTGCCCGTCTGTTAGGAAAAATAGCTTGACTCATAATTGCTGACAAATTGTGATTCTTGTTTACAATTTATTTTTCATAAGTTTTTTTAAAAGATAAATTAATCTAAATATGTAAGTAGTTCTTTCAATCTCTTTAACCCTAATAATACGGACCAAGAAAATGCTAGTTTTGTGTGACTTTTCAATTTTAACCGAATTTTCAAAAACTAATTTTAAGAAAGTGAGTGGAGATAGAAGAGACAATGCAAAGAAAATAGTTTTTATTTTAAAAACTGAAAAAAAAAAAAAGTTTTGAAAGCAGTTTTAAAAAACTACACTGATGCACTCACAACGATACGCACTACACCTAATATAGGTATGTGCACATATATGATTAAGTTCTATTATTAGGTGTTCTCGGGGTCTACTTTTATGCCTAAACGACAATATTGATTTCTTGAAAATTCATATTTGACATTCATTGCAACAGAAATACATGAGACGCCAGGCAGTAGTACATTCTCTATGCCACAGGGAAGGACTGAAGGAATCATGTCTAGTCTCAGATTAAGCTCAAGCTTTAAACAAGTGTTGGGTAGTCACAATGATAATGGAAGCGATCAGAACCGAGAAACTGTTTTGGAAGGAGAGAATTTAATAGCGAGTCTGGATAATGTTGGACCTGGGGAAGTTAACTGTGGTGGTGAGCTTGAAACTGAAATGGAAGATCAACCCAACCCTCCTAAATTGGATGAAGGAGATAGTCTAGCTTGGATTGCTCAAAGCAATAGATCTACAAACTCGGTTCACACATCTCAAGGTGAAAAAACTGGGATGGAAAATCAGTTAGAAAGACAGAAGCACATGGCAAATCCAAGAAGTTCAATACCGAGTTGGACAGAGGAACAGCTGGATGAGCTTTTAGCGTTTGATTGAGATAACAATTTCTTTTAGTCAAAGCAAAGTATACAGGACAAGATGATGCCGATGTGTACCTAGTTTTCATGTATCTTAGTGGTGTAATTTTTAGCATTTTGAAGCTACACGGGTTTAGTAAATATTTTAGATATAATCATAGATCCTTTCAGATAGATGCTCAGGCAGGATTGGGTTGCTAGCTTTGTTCAACAGAGGGCCTTGGGAATGCACCCAGTTATGGTTCCAGAAACTGATGGGGCCCCATCACCAATCATCCATCTCAAATTCTTCAAAACATCTTCCCAAGATTTACAAATACCCCTCCAGAGATTTGAACATGGCCTATTAGGATTAATGTGAGGGAGAATACCGTTCCCACAATTGTATTCGGATTTAATCATTTGGACCCATAGAGCTTCATTGTTTGAACATACGCGGGGCTTAAGAGCGTAGACCCAAACCCTCATGGAATGACATACGCGGGGCTTAAGATTATGATTCCAGTCCCCCGTAGACGCCCAACTCTCATTGACAAACATGGAGAAATCTGAATGGGTTATACAAGAAGCTAGAAAAAGAAAATGCCTTCTTTGCGTGGATGATGTGTGTTGGATATTGAAATTCAACAACAGCTTCTTGAAAGCATATCCTCCATTCCCAATATACATATCCCTACTAGAGGCTGACCGACTCAACCAATTGCAAAGTTAGAATATAGAAGTCAGAATCCACCTAAATAATTCATAATGTGATTATAGTCTAAACATATTCCCACCATTCATGGTAGAAGTAAGCGCTGTTTGAACTCACAATATCGTATCACTAAATTTTCCAATAGGTATGTACTAACAACCTTTCAAACCTAGGGTCATATCACATGCGTCATGTCTTCCAATTTTGATTCTTTCCTATAATATTCTCTCTCCAGCTTCTTTCTTGCAACATTAATAATCATTAAATATATTTAATAGCTCAAATTTAATCTTATAATTAATATAATTTTTTAAATGATTAAATTTGAGTCATTAGATATATCCAATGATTATTATTGTTACAGGAGAGAGGCTGGATAGAGAATATTACATGAGAGGATCTAAATTTCATGTCTTCACATCAAGGGGATAAAGTAATCCCGATTTTAGATAGATTGAACCATATTAATGGGAGTATAACAATTTGTCTAAAACCAAAAAGGATAAAGTTTTGTTGAAGTCAGTAACATAAGATTATTCTTGGGATAATTTGATTTGATTCCGAAAATGAATATGAATTGAACTCGTTAAAATTATAAAGTTTATATTGCTTTGGAAATCATCTTCAAGTTTAAAATTCATTCAAAATTAAATTGATTTAATTTAATTTTACATTTTTTTTCTCTATATAACTAATAGCTGATGGTTTATTATTATTATTTTTTATCATATATTAGTAATATTTTAGTACAATTTCTATCCTTTAGCTATTTGTATTATCTAATTTAAACGATCTTTTAGTTCACATGATTTGTTTATATATTCCTTCGAATTCTCAATAATGACGTTCCATGCAATGCCCAAAACCTAATATACAATTTTATGGGTACAAATGATCACTAAAAGGCAAAAATAATGTATAGCTTATTTATGGGGAAAAAAGAAGCAAAATATAGATGATTACAATTCAGAAGTAGAAATACAAGTAAACGAATAAAGATGAATTATTTTAATTATTATATTTTAAATGTTTCAAAATATTTTTACATTATACTATTTATTTTAGTTATTAGGGTGTTCAAATCCAATTTGATTAAAAGAAAAACAACAAACCGACATTTAGGATAATTTTTTATATAACGGATCAGATCAGATGGAATTTTAGATTGTGTTCATAATCTAAACAATCATTTTTTTTATACATTTTATGTTGCATTTCACGCGTAGGTTGTATGTGCTTCATGTCATAGTAAATTTAGTCGATTTGTGTTTCGTAACTCGTAAGTTTTCACATTTAGTATTTTTGTCCTGGAACCCCCATCAATCCACTAAATAAGTATAAAACTATTCTCGACACGTGTTGATTAAGCTCTAAAGTGAAGACATCCAGTATTGGGAAATTGAACATTTAGAATTAAAAGTTGCTTTGATCTATAGATTTGCAAAATCAATTCGCAAAAACCCTTACTTTTATTCAGATATATCTATTCATGTATTTTACTCAAATTACAAAATGTAAAGCCTACTGCATCCATTCTTATTTCTTATTCAAAAGACTATTTTATCATCGGTCTCTTCTTATAAGACACTTGTTATTTGACTTATTTCTTATACAAAAGACTAGCCTCTTAAAGTCGGTAGTAAATAACAACTTAGACATACTTGAAGTGGGAAAAGAATAAAAGGCCTGTTAGCTGAAATCATAAACACTGCACCAACAAATGAAGTACTTCATCGGATAACAGATTATAAAAAAGTCTACTTAAAAGAAAAATACCTAGCTATGGTCATAAGCACCGCCTCACTTGACTCACTGACATTACAATCCGAATATATTTACCTCGTGCAAAATTGGGACTCATTCTGGCAATAGCACGTAACTAAGGTCACAGAAGCAGAAGAAAAAGAAGTACAATTACTACATGCTTTTAATGTCTAAAAATTGCCATGCCTCGAAGGACAAAAGAATCATTATCATTTTCAAGAAATCAAATGTCAAATTACTCTTGTATACTTATTGTAACTAGGAACTAACTCATTAATCGTCTCGGTGCGTATAGGTCACCACCAACGAATACCATTTTCAGCCATCATATCTCGTGCCACAATTATGTATGTACCTACTGGAATAGCTTCCTCAACCTTTCAACAGCTGCAGCTGCCCTTTTGTTGGTTGGCTCAAGCACAAGGGCATGTTTAAAATCTGCAAACCAAAACCTTTGTTAGCAGACACTACGTAAAATTTAGAAAAACGTTAATAATAAAAAGACGAACCCTGTTAATATGTACTTGTCTAATTTGAAAGTAACCCCAAATTTCATCACAAATAATTTTAAGCTATATACACCGGCAAAAGTCCAGAATAAGGAGTGGTCCAGACATTTTATAGGTCCTAGATGAAATGATAAATGCGGAATCTTACATCTTATTAGTACGAAGTATTAATCGACTTCTATGATGACTAAATCGACTTCTATGATGACTAATTTCTGACGAAGAACTTAATTGGTTATCGTGATACCCGCTTATGAAAATTAAGTCTAATATCACTTAAATTAACGACTTGGAGGTATAAGCCCTTACATATAAACAATTATAACATAAAAATAGATATGTGATTTAATTAAAAATGACAAATGACATGTTTTATTACATTAAACAAAAAATGTTAACAAATATAAAAAAAAATGTACTATATTCTTCATTAAGTTTACTTCTATATTATTGTTTATTATAAAGTGCTATTAAATAAAGGACCAAAAATAGTGCATCTCTAAATTAAAAGGACCAAAATATGTCAAATTTTGAACTACTAAAACCAAACTTGAAAATTTTGGAGACCAGAAACATATTTTACCCTTTTATATGAATATAATACATTATAAAGCTAATAATAAAAATAACAAAACGTCATAACCATATCACAATTTTATATTTATATATAAAAACAAATGAGATAATTTTTTTAAAATAACATACAGAATTATCTCACAATTTTTATTATTTTAAAAAAAAATTGTGTCTCTCTTATGCCTAAGGTGGCCCACCTCTAAATGAGACCCAGGACGGGCCCTGAGTCCAGTCTTCATAAAAATATAGTATTTGAATTTCTATATCAAATTAAAAGGGAAAAAAGTATTGAAAGCACAATTAATGCACATTCTAGCAAATATGGGCATTGGGGACAAATTTAATTCCTAATCCACCCAGTGTGTGTCTTGGTTTTCGAAAAAATATTTTAAAAAGAATTTTCAAAAACTAATTTTAAGAAAGTGAGTGGAGATAGAAGAGACAATGCAAAGAAAATAGTTTTTATTTTAAAAACTGAAAAAAAAAAAAAGTTTTGAAAGCAGTTTTAAAAAACTACACTGAACAAAATAGTTTCATTAATGAATTGACAAGATGCACACAAATGCCAGAAAGAATTAAAAGATCTTACCATCAATTGCTTCCTTGTAGTAGCCTAGCATCTCTCTAGCTGTACCCCTACGAAAATAGGCTTTCACATTCTGGGGAAACAGATAACAAAGCAATGTTACTGCAAAATGCTCATGACTATCTCATTCAAGGAACATCATATAGTCTACAGATTAAGCAATAGTATGAAATATCTTTTTCCTGCTTCATCCCATAAGACCCTCTTTCTCTTTCTCACCTTATTTTATTATTCTCACAAGAGCCAAGTAGAGAAGGTTTAAAAATCCAAGGATGTAAACTGATGCACCCAATTAAACACCTCAAAGTTTTTCTAATTATACATAACAGCTTTATTTTCAATTAAAAAGTCTTGATTTTCAACACCCACGTATATTTGGAATGAAGACAAGCTTTCGTCATTCTATGATGGCAAAATCTATATACTTCTAAGGAAAAAGCTTTTCGAAGAAAGAAATCACCTGTTTGTCAAGACCAATTGCTTTTGTACAATCTGTCTCAGCTTGAAGGAAACTGGATCAACAGAGAACAAATCAAGATGTTTGCCAGACACTTTTGATAAGTCAAGTAGCAAGAATGAAATACTACCTTCCAAGTTCTAGATATGCTTGAGCCCTGTTACTGTAGTATGTTGCATTATCACCGCAGAGTTTGATAGCTTCTGTATAGAATCCAATGGCTTTCTGCCATTGTTCAGTACGGCCGTATTGGGCTTTTTCCCTCCACTTCTTTATTTTGAGCTATTCTAAGACCTCTGGACCTACAGAGAACCCTCCTAGGGCCTTCGAGGAGTCCTTCTGGCTGATTATCCTTCAGTCTTCGAGAGTCTTCAAGCTTTATTTCCGACCCGGACAATTTTAGGGGTCTACATCACTGAATTAACTTTTTTTTTTAAGAAAAAGAGTAAGATATATATCAAATAAACAATTTTTATAATAAATATCCAATTTTGGCATGGTGACACATGTTGTCCCATCAAAGAATAAGCACCGCACACTTTAGTCTAGTACTAGTACTTGTATTGATAACATGGATTTGACACACTCTAAATTGCTAATAAGAGAAAAACATTATTCCAGTCTGTGACCTAGCTATGGATAGTTTTATGGCAACAAAAAGTGTTTCACAATTATTAAAATTCCATACCTTGTATTTATCTATAATTTATAAGAAAAGTAAGTCCACATATATTTTTTCCCCTTTTTTTTATAAAAAAGAAGTAACAAACTAACAACTAATAACAGCGGAAAAAACAAAAAAAATGAAAAACGTGAATGTCGCCAGATTATCATTAAATTTGGCACAAAACAAAGCAATCTGACAAGAAAAATCCTAATATGCCGGAAAAGAGTCAAATCTAGGACAAGAAGTGAAGAAAAGAAACTAAAACAAAATATTAATGATGGTGTTGGAAGAGATACATGGCGACTCGTAGAAGACAAAAGTGGTGAAAAACAAGAAGAATTTGTCACAGCAATGGCAGAAGAGTACCCAAAGGAAGCAAATAAAAGTACAGCATGAAAACAACTCTCTATAACCTTACACACATTATCTACTTCATATTTGTCGTCTGCACTGCATGTCTTCCCTGTGCTCTGTGTTGACCGCATTTCCACCATAGAAAAGTTCTAAATCCCATTAATGTATATTTATAAACATATTTATATACTAATTTAAATTTATATAATAATATATTTGTAAGTGTACTATCCGTACTGCTATGCTGAGCTTGAACTCGGCATCACAGCGCGGAGTGACCTCGGACACGCGCTAGGCGACATCGGCTCGCTATCCAATTAGGTCATAAACTGATCTCGGGTCCAAGGCCCAACAAAACCCTAATACACACAAAGGTACGTGCATTACTTATACGAGACTCATACACCCACAAACACTAACTTCGGCATCGGAGTCTCTTTTGCAGGTACCACTCCCATCTTGAAGCATCAACGTACCAGTGGAAGAGGTTCACCGATCTTACTTGGCGGATCATCTCTACAGCAGATCTCCAGTAAGAACATTTGGCGCCCACCGTGGGGCCGATCAAGACAGCTCTTATCAGCCACTCTTATGGTTTCTACCAGAAGCCATAGCAGACGTGCAACAGACGACCTAGATCACGCAACTACCATGGACAACGAAGCAGCATTGAGAAGGCTGATCGAGCAGGTCGAGCAGATGCGGCAGCAACACACCGTCAATCTGCAAAACATGCATGCCAAGCACGAAACTGACCTAGCCGCGATGTGACCGCCAATGAAGCTGATCTAGCAGCACTACGCGCTGAAAACGAGCGGATTCGTGTCCAGCTCCCTCGACGCCCCTCTGATCATCCTCCTGAGGCGAGCAACCTCCACGAGGAAGAAGGGCATTCGGTCTCTCAGCCCCGAACTGCGACTAGGGCACCGACTCCACGACCTGCCACACATCGGTCTCATGCACCGGGGAACAAGTCGGCCCATGAACTCAGCAAGGCCTCTCCTCATGTCACGGGGGGATCAAGCTCCCTTCCGCCGTCACCCTTTCGTGGATGGCATCATGGAGACGCCGCTCCTCACGGATGGAAACCTTTCCACCCCGACCGTTACGACGGCACGACAGACCCGGATGAGCACATCGACCTATATACAACACAGGTAAACCTCTACACCAATAACGATGCTATTCTGTGTAGGGTTTTTCCGACCTCGCTCAAGGGGGCTGCACTCAATTGGTACACCCAGCTCCCTACTGAGTCGATCAACAGTTTCACCACTCTGGTAAGGCGATTCACGGCGCAATATGCAACGAGCCGACCTCATCACATCACATCCGCCGCCTTGGCCATCCCAGGGCGACGACGAACCATTAAGGACATTCATGGAGCGCTTCGCTGGCGTCTCCGTCAAAATCCGCAACTTATACCCCGAGGTCGCACTGCACTCCATGCTCATGGCGTTGAAGCCAAGACCTTTCAGCCTTTGCCGACGACCTCCTCCCGACATGGACGAGCTTCGAGCTCGTGCTGCTGGGTACATCCAGATGGAGGAGCATGCCGAGTTCCGCAAGGCAATTCGCGACAAACCACAAGGAAAGCAAGACCAAGGTCAGGCCATGAACATTTAAAGTTGGCGACCTTGTTTGGCGATTACGGGGAGAAGCAAGAACAGACCCCTCCAAAGGAAAATTTGGAACTTGGAATTTCACCCACCTCAAATTTTATTTCTCTTAACTTGTAAATTCAGGGGATGTACTCTTTTTCCTCCTCAGCCTTTTTTCCCACTAAAGAAAAGGGTTTTTGGCCAAGGAAGGTTTTAACGAGGCACCCCTCAGAAATAAATCAACAAAGCAACTTCATTCCCATACATTTTCGGTATTGGCACATTAACCATGACGACTTGCCAAGGTCGAGTTCGAACCTTGATGTTAAAGTCAGGTTCGAACCTTCAAATACAAATTACGTTGCCAAGGTCGAGTTCGAACCTTGAGATCACATTTTCTTAACCAAGGTCAAGTTCGAACCTTGATATGCCAAGGTCGAGTCCGAACCTTGAGATCACATTTTCTTAACCAAGGTCGAATTTGAACCTTCAAACAACAAATTTGGGAACTCCTCAGAAGCCCCTTTGCTCTTACATCACTCGGTACTTGGGGGGCAAGTGTACTGGTCAGCCGAGTTGCCAACTTGTCCGTCACCAATTTACTGACTCGGTCAAAGGTTTACCAGCCTAACCAAGCAGTAAGCTCATTATTGCCGAGCTCCTCAGCCCGACCATGAAACATGGACATCGGAACACCACATCGGCCCAAAGAGGCCACGTCATCAAACAAATAAAAATACAATCTTGTCACCGCGCTGCCCACACGTTATGGGAACGAGGTGATGGTTATGACACATGGCGTCATGATAAATAGGCGTACGCGAAAAGTCACGACCCCTTGTCGAGCTCGGTCTTAACTCCTTGACCTACGGTCTTCGGAGCTCGGGGGGCTAGTGTACTATCCGTACCGCTATGTCGAGCTTGAGCTTGGCATCACAGCGCGAAGTGACCTTGGACTCGCGCTAGGCGACATCGGCTCGCTATCTAATTAGGTCATAAACTGATCTCGGACCCAAGGCCCAACAAAACCCTAATGCACACAAAGGTACGTGCATTACTTATACGAAACTCATACATCCACAAACACTAACTTTGGCATCGGAGTTTCTTTTGCAGGTACCACCCCCATCTTGAAGCATCAACGTACCAGTGGAAGAGGCTCACTGATCTTACTTGGCGGATCATCTCTACAGCAGATCTCCGGTAAAAACAGTAAATATTTATAAACTTAATTTATTTTAAAAAAAAATAATTTAATAATTAAATTATTAAAATTTAATATATATTATAACTTTTCTAATTTACGTCCATCATAAATATAATATGTGATCACAACTCAATCCCTTAAAAAGTTGTACTACTATTTACCATCATCCTTTGCAAATATTAATGTAATTTTTTATTAGGTTATTCTTAAATTTCACTTAAGTTAATATTTTTATTACTATTGCTCACTTAACTTTTATTCGTTTATCAATTTTTCGTTATTATTGATGTTTTTATTTTATAAAATATATAATATGGTTATTCAATGTTAATTTATACAAGATATTTTAGTATTTATGTTATTTTGTTATTATATATATTATATAATATTAATGTATATTTTTAATTATTATCAATTTAATCACAATAACTAAATTAATAAACTATATATATCTATGCCAATTTAATAACTATTTTAATTTTAAAATCTAATAAATGTTAAATAAGTGAAGGCAGAACACTTTAGTTCCTATATTCAATTAAAAAACAAGGCAGGCATAATAAATTGTGTTAATTATAGAGATATAAAACTTCTTATTCACACTATGAAATTATAGAAAAAATGTATTAAAAATAAATTAAGAGAAAAAAATATTAAAAGTATAATTGATTTGGTATTGTACTATAAATAAAATATGGTAGAAGTCACTTATCTTTTGTGGAATTGATGGAAAGGTAAAAATAAAAATAAAAATTACATATTTCTTTATTAACTTGAAAAAAAATATGATTTAGTATTGAGAAAAGTGTTGTGAATAGATTGATAAAAATGGTTTAAAAAAAAAGATTGATATAGTCTATAAAAGAAGTTGTTAGGAAGGATTTCATGATAAATGATTTTTATAAATATTTTATTTTTAGTTTAATTGAATAACATTGCATGATTTCATAAATTTTATAATTTTTTAAGATTATTAATTATCAAGAATTAAAAGAATTTTTGAAAGTTGTAATAGTGCGTTATTGTGCATAGTGAAAATTTCATTAAACTTTAGATCACTTTGACCTTCTTGAAAAAAAGATAAAAATCAAGATTTTATTTACTTTAACTCTTTCTTCTACTTTCTCTATCTTTCATAGTGACTAGGACTTTAGAGAATATTTATTTTCAAGGAGAGAATTTTGTTTTACATTAGTAGATGTTTATAATTCCTTAAAATTGTTATTCTCATCAAATAATAATTATTAAGCCTATTTTCTCTTAATTGTTACCAAAGTCAATAATAACAACAAACTTCTCTTCCAATATAGCAAGGTCTAGATCCTAGACACCAAGGCGAAATTGGACTTGCTTATTCTAGTTGGAGAAGTTGAGCCCATTAAAAATTAGAACAAACACTACATGAGAATTCAATGAATTGGGAATAAGTATTGCATAATAAAATTTCACACAAGTGTTTTGAGACATAAAACATATGTTACACATATAATATGTTCAAACAACAATTAAAAGTATATTGATGCTCTCATTTGGGTGATACATTGACATACAACATGCAAACATAATGATACTAATAAAATTTAATCATTATACGGTAGCTAAATATGTACTGATTAAAATAATATATTATATTTGGGTATATAAATAATCTAATGACACACAATTATATTTATTAATTATAAGAACAACTAATCAATCTTTGAAAATTCATAAATGTCTTATCATAATGAATTTCAATATATCCATAAATCAACAATCATATTATTTAACATCCATTATTCAATGGGTAATTGAATTAAATCATCAATAATTTTAAAATTAAATAAATATAAAAATTTGGCCATGGTGACTAGTAAAATTATCATAAATCCTAAACTAATAATTTTATCATACACTTAATTACAAATACACACAAAAAAAACCTAATAGTGATTATTAGGTAATTCTCTTCAAATTAATAGACAATTTCATTACACATTTGATTGAAATAGCAAGTTCGTGACTTGTGAACATTGTGATTCATTATCCCATATACTAATATTTTTAAAATTGAATCAATCAAGACAGTAATTCAAAATTCAAAAATTTAACAACGATTAAATTGGTATTAATAAAATAATAATAATATTTAAATAATACATAAATAATATTACATAAACATAATTTTATAAAATTAAAATAAAACATAGTTTTATATATTTTTATTTTTAAAGTTAATGTAAAAGCCAAAATATAATATTTAATTTTAAATTTTAATAAAATATAATAATATATATGAACAATTTTATATTTAGAATAGAAAATTTTTAAATTAATATATTATAAAATATAAAATATCATGATATAAAAATTGTAAACTAATATAAATGATTAAATTATATATTATAAAAAAATTATTAAAAAAATAATATACTTTATTCTAATTTATATTTTTTATTAAATATATTTTTTTTATCATAAAAATATTTTAAAGAATTTGGAAAGTAAACAGAAAATATTTTTAAAAAAATACTAATTCAATCCGATTTTTTTAATCAATTTTTAATCGATTTTTATTAGTTTTGAGTCAAATTTTTTTAATTTTTTTTTATCAATTCTTTTATACATTAATTTTACGATTTTTTAAATTAGTAAAATAATCAATTATCAATTCGACTGGTTTAATGATCAATTCTGACAAGACAACTTAACACGTAGAAAAGCATCAAAAGATATTATTTGAGTTATTATAGATGAATTATTATAATAATTTGCTACTGATTTTATAGAAAAAAAATATATTATTTGAGTTCCACCTACCATTCACGGTAGTTTTTCATACGAACAATGTGACACTATTTTAAACAATTATTTGAGTCAACACCCATGGTGAATTTTTAATGTTTTGGAATTGGAAGTAAAGTGATAAAAATAAATAATACTAAATATTAATAGATTGAACAGATTAATTATTTTGACATTATGATCCAAGATTAAGACCGCGGAAAATGAGTCAAATGACTGACATAATGACATTTTACATTTATTTGTTGTAATTTAGAAAAAAAAAAAGGAATTTAACAACCGGAAGCACGTTTTAATTGGTTTAGATTTTTAACCGAACAAAGCCATGTGCAGTCCTACCGTTAAGAAAATTTATTATTTAATGAATTAGCTGTGAAGTTTTTTTACTTTTTTTTTTAATTTTTTATAACATTAGCAAATAAAAGTACGGGAAAAACTTAGAATCTTATAAATATAAGTCTCATAGCATCAATCATGATCATAGAAAACATTTCATTAAGAGGAGATTCTAGAGTGATTAACTCTCTTTTAGTACGAGAGTTTAATTTTGTCAAAATATTTGTACACTGATTTTCTTCATAGAGAATGAATAACCTGAACTCTCCAATCTTCTTGTAAAAAAATTCTTGATATTCTTAACAATGGGGACATATATAGTGATGTAAAGGAGAACAAAGATTCTGAAGCAAATTTAAAACATGGAGTGAATTAGTCATACAAAATATTATCGTAATGTAAATCACAAGTTAATCATAAACTATAGAGAATAATTAGTAGCTGGACCTTCAAGATATATGCTTGTCCATCACTAGTTAAGTTTCTGGACAAACCTTTATAACCTGTTAGGCCAAAGGTTCCTTGATGGCTTCCATCCTCATGAATGGAAAGTTGCCCTTCATGCGACTGTGGGCAGGACATCCATTGTTCAAGTAATGCTATACTTCTTGAATTAACTTGTGTGGAGAGGAAAACATGCTGGATCATTTCCAATAAAGAAACTGTCTGAGCAACAATTTCATGTGTAGGTATCATAGTGTGCTAGAACACTAGTTGAAGGTTTTTGTCCTTCCAAATTTGCCATAAAAATAGGAAGAAGACCTCTTAGCCATTCTAACTAGTCAACTCCGAACTAGATCGGTGTAGGCACAGTGAGATGTAGCAATTCCATATATGATGTCTATTGTTGTAGTGTTAGAAAATATGTTGTGGAGTCTCATATTCTATTGCACATAAATAGCACGTTGCTAATGTGGTAATGTGTTGTTGTACGAGCATCTCCCTTGTTGGCAAAGGGTCATAGCTAATCTGCCACATGAAGAGTTTTATTTTTCTGAAAGTTGGCATCACCAGATCCAAGACCAAGAATCAGTGTTGTTTAGGGTTTTATGAAAGGGGAACCATTATATAACAACCACTTGTAACCCAAAAAGGCTGAGTAGATGTTCAACAAATTACCCTTTCATACCATGATATTCGAAGCTAGTGGGTGTGGAGCTCAACCTTAAAATTATGGATACTGTCTCAAGTGACATGTGGTAGACTAGTGTACAATTGATTCAAACACAAATGATTATTGCGAATAACATCTTACACTTGCACATGAATGTCATTTATATGGACAAAAGAAACCTCCTCACAAATGGGGGTATTTAATAGCCAAGGATCAAGCCAACAATTACATTTCCCGTTATTCAATTTGAGTATGAAACCTTGTTTAAGACTAGAATACACAGGCTTCAACGATAGAATATTAAATGAACCACTGTGAATAAAGACTTGATGAAGAATGTTATTTGGATACTTTGATATTATCAACTACACCCAATACTAGATAATTTATTTAACGTAATAAACCCATGGTTTAATCGATTAGACAAAAAATCAATTAAATCATTTATTTGAACAACTTATAATTAAGAAAAAAAAACAAATAAAAAATTCTTCGAATTGATAAAAAGATCAAATAAAAACAATTAAATTAACAGGAAAAATTGTTAGTTTGAAGCAATTTTAAAAAATAAAAAATATTAGTGTGAATTGTTATCATTTTGTTTTACTATGTTATTTATGATTTTTTGTATTATAATGTATTTTTTACATATAATTTTGTAGTGATTATTTTTGTAATATTTTTATACGCGTAGTTGAGAATCTCATAATAATATTAATATCTATCTAACAGATGGCAAATTGGTTGTTGCCTGCTGGTATGACATCATTCCATTAAATAAATCAACCGCTTGTCTTCCTTTTATGAGAAAAAAATAATCACAAAATATATCAGAAATGTAGATTTGAGCGTCGGCATGGAAATAATTTCTTGATTAATCAATTGCTAAAGGTAAAATTAGAAGTTTGATTTTGACACATATATAATAGTAGTTAGTATAAATAATTTTACTCAATTAATTAAAAATGATTTCAGTTATGATTAAATGACAACATAAATCATGTTACAAAAAGATGGTAACATAAAATTTTATTTAATTAATGTATTAATAAATTTTGATAAGACAACTTAAATGTAATTACTAAGAATGAATATGTCATTTATCGAAAAAGCTAAAAGCCTAAAACTGTATCGTAACTGAATCCTATCTATTTAATTATTTTGTCAACTCTAATTAATAATTATTACTCGTCAAATTGCAATCTTGAACATTTTTCTTTTGACACCGCAATCTTAAACATTAAACAACCTGGAATTAGATATAGAAAAATGAGTTAGTCCTCTCTCTTTCCCCGTAAGAAGTGTGAAGATTTAGGATATGACCATGCCTCGAATATGATTATTTTGAAAAGGAGACACTGTGGAAAAGAAATACATTAAAACATATAAATAAAAAATTTTAAATACTAAGTAAAAAGTGTATTAAATTGAGACTTTATAAAATTATTTATTATGAAAAATTTTGTAAATTTTAAATTTTTTATATCATAAATATTTATAAAATTTTAAAGGATTTTGTGAGATTTGAAAGGATAATATGATAAAAAATAATATAAATATTTTCTTTATAAGACATAAATAATAAGATTTGAATAATAAAAAATAAAATTAATATAATTTATTTAATAAATATTCAATTTTAGTTTTATATACTCTAAGTAACATTTTTCTAACATAACCTCTCATATATTCTTATTTATGTTATTGAATTTAAATAATATATTTAAATTTATGATATTTATTAATAAATAAAATTATTAAAATTGTTTGATATGATAAATTTATTTGATTTAATAATTTTTTTATTATTTCTTTTAAAGTTATTAAAAATAATTTTTTTCAAATTATATATACACTCACATAAATTTAAATATATTTAAGTCGATATTATATATAATTTAAATAGTGAAACATTCATTCTCATAATGACACATATTTGAAGTTCTTTACTAGAATTTCGTAAAATGGCTAGCGCCACATGGTGACTTACTATTTCAGTTTAGTACTAAACAATGTCAGTCACATAGACACAAGTGAAGTGAAGGAGAATCTGACATAATTGGTTTTCCTGCTAAGAAGCCTCTAAATATAAGAAGCTTTAGTTTAGAGTTATATAGGCATGTTTGAGGAGGATATAATTGAAGTGTTAAAGTGATAGTAAGTGAAGAAGATTAGTAAATAGTTAGTAGATGTAATGTAATAATATAAAGAATAATGTGATGTTAGTTAGAAGTTAGAAGTTAGAAGTAGAAGGAAGGAGGTTAATTAGCGGGGAGGCAAAGGAAAAGACAAAGGTAAGAAAAAGAAAGAGTGGATGAGTCATGAGTTGACTAGTGACTTTAGATATAACATATAAGATTAAGCAGGGAAGTGGTTAGGGTTGTTTTCGTTTTCTGGGTTATGTTATGAGTCTTGATTAGAGGACAGAGGAAGAGAGAGCAATGGTGGCTCAGAAGCAGACGGTGGTGGTTGTGGCACTGGCACTGGCACTGGCACTGATGATGGTGATGGTCGCAGAAGCAGATCTGGCGTCGGAGAGAGCAGCATTGCTGGCGCTACGCTCGGCAGTGGGAGGGCGGACCCTCTTCTGGAACGCCACGCGGGAGAGCCCCTGCACGTGGGCGGGGGTCCAATGCGAGCACGACCACGTGGTGGAGCTGCATCTCCCCGGCGTGGCTCTCTCGGGGGAAATCCCCAACGGAATATTCGGGAATCTGAGCCACCTCCGCACCCTGAGCCTCCGGTTCAACGCTCTGAGAGGGTCCCTCCCTTCAGATCTGGGCTCCTGCGTGGACCTCCGGAACCTCTACATACAGCGCAACCTCCTCAGCGGCCAAATCCCATCCTTTCTCTTTCACTTACCTCACCTCGTCCGACTCAACATGGGCTTCAACAACTTCTCCGGCCCATTTCCGACCGCCTTCAACAACCTCACCCGCTTGAAAACCCTCTTTCTCGAAAGCAACCGCCTCTCAGGCCCAATCCCCGAGTTAGCCAAACTCTCCCTCGACCAGTTCAATGTCTCCAACAACATCCTCAACGGCTCTGTCCCTCTTAAGCTTCACACATTCCCCCAGGACTCTTTCCTCGGTAACTCTCTCTGTGGGAAGCCCCTCTCTCTCTGCCCCGCCGATGTTGCCGATCCTATCTCCGTCGACAACAACGCCGGGAACAATAACAATAACAACAACCACACAAAGTTGTCCGCTGGCGCCATTGCGGGGATAGTTATCGGATCGGTCGTCTTTCTTCTGTTGCTGCTCTTCCTCTTCATTTTCCTTTGCAAGGGCAAGACCGGCAAGAAGACCAGCGCGGTCGACATTGCTGCGGTCAAAATTCCCGACCCCGAGGGGGAGGTTGTTGCTGATAAGGGCGTTTCGGATGTCGAGAGCGGTGGTCGCGCCAACGGCCATGGGAATGGCAACTCTGCGGTGGCTGTGGCGGCGGTGGCGGCGGCGGAAGGGAACGGCGGTGCTGGGGCCAAGAAGCTGGTATTTTTCGGGAATGCGGCTCGGGCGTTTGATTTGGAGGATTTGCTGAGGGCTTCGGCGGAGGTGTTGGGGAAGGGGACGTTCGGGACGGCGTACAAGGCGGTTCTGGAGGCGGGGCCGGTGGTGGCTGTGAAGAGGTTGAAGGATGTGACGATTTCGGAGAAGGAGTTTAAGGAGAAGATTGAGACTGTGGGAGCGATGGATCACCAGAGTTTGGTTCCTCTGAGGGCTTACTATTTCAGCAGGGATGAGAAGCTTCTTGTCTATGATTACATGCCCATGGGAAGCTTGTCTGCACTCTTGCATGGTCAGTTTCTCTCTCTCTTCTTTTAAGTTTTCTGCTTGTTTTTCACTCAATTTGGGTCCTTTCTTGGACTATCATTACTTGCTGGAATTCACTTTCTATTATCATGGCTATGTGAATGATTATTCACCACTCTGCATCTGTGGCATGCTTTAGCAATTACAATCTTAAATGCACTTGTTTAGTGTTCTATCCCATATGGGGTTTGTTTGCATCATGACTTTTAGGTCCAGATTGGATCACAAAGATGGTCATTTGTCAGAATTGTTGTACATCTCCTGCTATTGTCAGGCTTAGACAAATATTAGTAAATGGGGATGATTGAGTTATACTATTTTCAACTTGAAATTTGGCACGGTTTATTTCATCAATTTGGAACTGTGTCGCCTTAGGCAAAGCCTCATTCGTTAGCTTAGCACCAACAGTGGTACGATGATGTTTGTGATCTTTATTTGATTACAGGAAATAAAGGGGCGGGTAGGACACCACTGAATTGGGAAGTGAGATCAGGCATTGCGCTTGGTGCTGCCCGTGGCATTGAGTACCTACATTCACGAGGGCCTAATGTTTCTCATGGAAATATTAAGTCATCCAACATCCTCTTAACCAAATCATATGATGCCAGAGTATCTGACTTTGGCCTTGCACACCTTGTTGGCCCCTCCTCTACCCCCAACCGTGTTGCCGGCTACCGTGCGCCCGAGGTGACGGATCCTCGCAAGGTATCTCAGAAGGCAGATGTGTACAGCTTTGGCGTATTGCTCTTGGAACTTCTGACTGGGAAGGCACCTACCCATGCTCTCCTCAACGAGGAGGGAGTAGACCTTCCAAGATGGGTTCAATCAGTGGTTAGAGAAGAGTGGACTTCTGAGGTCTTTGATCTTGAGCTCCTTAGGTATCAGAATGTGGAAGAGGAGATGGTTCAGTTGTTGCAACTTGCAGTTGATTGTGCAGCACAATACCCTGACAAGCGCCCATCAATGTCTGAAGTGGTAAGGAGCATAGAAGAGTTGCGAAGGTCTAGCTTGAAAGAGGACCAGGACCAAATCCAACATGATCCCACCAATGATATACTACTATAGAAGATGTATCTTCTTCTCCCTGAGTTTCCTCTGGACTCTGCTTTGTCAGAGTCCGACACCATATTTTACTTGCTAAATCCTGTGCGTATGTTGGTTGTATTCTGTAGCTTGGGCCCCAAATTTCTTTGGCACCAAACTTTTGAATTTCTTCCTTCTTTTTCTCCTCAAATCTCCATTGTGCCATCTCCCCCTTTTTCTTCCCAATTAATACATTGGGGGAGTGGATATCTGTTCCATTAGTTATTGTTGTTGGATTCTGGTTGATTGTAATTATTATTTTTGCTTTAACATCCCTTTTTCTTATTTCTTTTGTTGAAACCCTGTGGCGTTAAAATTTTGTAATTGAGATGTCATGGTCCCTGTCGTTGGTTGGTTGCGATGTCTCGTCGGTGGCGTGTATCCCCTCTTTTATTGCTGCCAAAAAAGTTTGTTGTGAACGTGATCGCCACCTTCGTAAGGATGGGCGATTTATGCCCCCAAACCAACTTTGATTAATTCATCCTCCTCTTGCCAGTTGGTTTAAGATTTATTTATTTTAGTTCCCACATGAGTATAAAAAAAACACAAAATAGAATGTCTTTACAGTAAGGATAAAATTGTTAGGTACAGTATGGATAAATTGTCAGAAGTGGGTGATTTTATGAAATCAAGGGTAAGAAAGAAAGGGTACGGCATGTGTTCAAAAAATGTGATTGTTACGATATTTACTGTAAATCATAGGTGTGTTTTAAAATAAGTCAAAGCAATTAATTTGACATGATGCTAGCAAGTTTAATCTAGTAAGTTAATTTAAGAAAAATTCTGGCCACTATAATATTACAGATTATACATCAAAGGTCATCTATATTGGTCCCCACAAGCCAATTTTGTCATTGAGTGACTAAGCATGAGTGGTTTAAATGATTTCTTATCCTTTCTTAATGTTGATTTTGAAATTTAAAAGAATAGGACTCGGGTATTACTGATGAAAGTTCAAACGTACGTGGGAATCGAGATGCACTTTTTCTTAGGTACTCTACAGTGCACCAGAAACAGTGCACATATACAAACATACTAGTTATTATGAGTCATGGCCATACTTTGTTGGCTCTTGGGCCACCTGATCTTTTTTGTTAATATATGGAGGGGCTACACTTTATAAAAGGTTGGAAACAAAATAATCAGAAAGTGATGCGAGAGAAAGAAAAGATTGGCATCACACCATGTTATGTTATTACTACATACATGGGATGCGTTTGTCTCTTGGTTATTGCTGTCCTGTCTTCTTTCAAAGTCGATGGCCGTTGTAGTATGTCTGCTGTAAAAATTGACACCACTTGATTGCATTTAGCAATTAGCACCAAGCAGATTTTTGAAAATAAATAAATAATTGAACACCCATTTCAACCTTGGCACAAATTTTCAATAATATCATCATCCTAGATTGGCTGGGTCATTTCAAAAGAGTTCTACTAAATGTTTTTAATTAACTAATTAAAAAAGTAAATATTAATTATATTTGTATTTTTAATAAAATAAACAATTTAAATTAAATATTTTTTGCCCTTTATTTTCTTAATCATTTTTCTATTGACACTTGACAGTACCAAATTATTCAATTTATTAAGGTAACAATGTATCACATCTTGAACAGGACATGATCTATGCAGTCTTCTAGAACTTACAATCTAGAGTTACTCTTTGTTTGTAAGATATGATTCTGTCGAGATTAATGTGCATTTTATTTAGGATTGAATCATAGTTTTAAAAACTGTACCGGTTATCGAACTGGTTAAGGTACTGGGTCAGTAGGTCAAAATTTGAATCGATGTGTTACTAGTTGAATTGCATGACTCGATTTTTATTTATTTTTATTAAAAAAATATTCATATTAAATATATTTTATACTTATAAATTTTAATAAATTCATATTTTATTTTAAATTTCAATTTTTCTATCTTATTTAAAAATTTGTTTTCATTTTGCAAAAAATACATAAAAAATTACATGTTAAACTGTATATTAATACAAATTAAAAATATAAATAATATGTACATATATAATATGCTTGCAGTTGATATTACAAAGTAATATATGTAATATCTACATAGATATTATATTATTAAATATATAATTTAAAATTAATAATATACTATAAAAGTTATTTAAGTTGTATATATTACAAACAAATACATTAGAACAAGTAGTCATTTTTATATTTAGTAAGACTTCTTGCTCTTCCATTAAGAGATTTAATTTTCATTATTATTTTTGTGGTTTATGGTCCCTTAAAGAATTTTTAAAAAAAGAAAAAAGAAAAAGAAGTGGTTGAACCGGTTTGACCCACCGGTTCTCCGGTTGAACCAGAAAATTGACCGGTTCAATTCGGTTTGAAACGGGTCGACTGCATAACCGATCCAACTTAAGATTTGGACTTGCTGGACCACCAGTTCCCGGTTCAACCGATCTGACCGGCCGGTTCGATCCGAGTTTTAAATCACTGGATTGAATACATACTCATTTTAAATGTTTCATTTCTTATTTACAAGAACTAAAACAAGTAATTATTCGAAATATATATATATATATATATATATATAAGAATTTCATACTGTTTTAAAGTAATTATTATTAAAAATTTATAAAAGGTTAGCATTATCAAATATATTTTTAGTTCTTAAAATGAGAGTTTTGTTATCCATAATAATTTTACTTGACTTAAACATATTTGACTTGAAACAAGTGAGTTTTTATTTTGGTTTTCGTAATTTTTTTTTACTATTTTCATTCACTCAAATGTTGAAATTACTATTTTTCAGTTGTTATAAAACTTGTGACTTTTGATTTTGGTTTCTGTAAAACAAATTATTGTGGAGATATTTTATTTTTTTGAGGTATCATATACTAACATAGTATTAAAGACACTAGTAAAGATCATCTAAGATAATCATTTGATCTTTTATTAAACACATAATTAGTTAACTAGTGTCACATAACAATAATAAAAAATAATGAATTAATTTTTTTAAGGATAAAAAAAATAAAATGACCCAAATTAAAGTTTGCTTATTTTACTTGATAAAAAATGTAAGTTTGTTTGATAATATCTTATTAAATAAATTGATCACTTTTCTTCATCTTAAAATTGGTTTGCCTCCATCTTTCATTGGTGATTAGTCTTTTTTTTCTATCACAAATGAATCTTGAATTGAATTTTCAGTAAAAATTGAAATAGTATTTAGTGCATAAAGATAAACATAAATATGATAAATATTCATTTTCTAACACAAAGGAAAAATCGTCAACATTATTTGTTTGAACAACTTCCATTAAACTACTAAACCTATCTTTTCATCTTTTTGAGTGAGTAAGACATGGACAAACATAAAAAATATTATCTATACCATTTATACCATTATATAAAAGAGATATTCCTTTTAATAACTGTATTGTCTCTATTTTTATATAGGTCATTTTACCATTTTTTATTTTACTTATAAATCTAAATCATTTTTTCTCTTTCAACATATTTTTCATCTCAATTTTTTTTAACCTCTTTAAGTAATTGATCATGTAACTGCTTACTACATGAATTATTTATTTTAATTTATTTTAAAAAATATCATTTTCTCTGTGTTGATAATTTTGCCAAGTTATGATGGACCGATTAGTAGCATTGGTGCAAAGCTCCTCAACAATTCTTGGGCATTGGGTGCAAGTTAAAACTAGAACAAGGAGAAGCCCACCGTGGTTGGACCTTTTACCAACATTATTACGAAAAATTTAAAATTTCCATGAATATTGAGCAACTTATCCAATCACGCTCCTCCAGACCCAAATGTTATGTCTTCAATCCAATGACAAACATTATGTTGCAATGGAGACGAGAAGTGACACACGACACTATTTAATTTGAAGGTACTAGGAGTTTCTAGAAGCATATTGGGTACGATCCCATTTACATTATTGAAGCCCATGGGCTTTTAGGGAGTCTATGGGGTTTTGTTGAGCAAGTTTGGCTGTGAACTGGTGTGTCCAATCCCTATACTATAAAATTTGCTTTAGCAACAATTGCACACTGTTTGTCGTGCTCTAGAGCTGAAGCTTTTGCTTAGATAATGGATAATTGTGGATCGGATAGAGGGATTGCTCACATGGTACAAAACTTGCAAGAGCAGGAGGAATATTGGCAAGAAGCTTGCGAGCCCTCTCTTCCATCTCAATTCTCATGGAGAATGAACTTCCTAGATGCTTCAACTGAAATCTTATGTTGTTTCAATTCATATCACAACCTCATTTTAATCAGGATTGGAGTAATGGCCCCAACAAAGAGGGCCTAGACCTTTCCTCTTTGAGCCAACTTGAATTGTACCCAACTACACAAGGCTTGTCAGCAATTTAAATTAAATTAATTATTATTATGAATGCTATTATCTTTGAATTCAAATTAAATATTATTTAATTTCTAACATTCTATTATCTTTAAAATACTTTTATAATTATATTATTATTTTAATTGAGTCAAATTAAATATTATATAAAGATTATAAGTAACATTGCACTAATTTTTGAAATTTTCATAACAAAATTGATCTGTTAAAGCTTGAATTATTATCATATTTTTTTTATATTATTAGTAAATTAGTTTCTTAAACATTTGTAGCCCATTTATATTAGCATTCTCTGACATTAAAAAAGGAAAAGCATAAATTACATAATGTGTGGACTATAAATATGGGTTGGGTAAAAGAAAATCTAAAAAGTGGTGGGTTAGTATGAAAATTGTTGTACTTAAACGTAATCTGTATTTTTAATTGTACAATTTATTAAATGTGTAAAAGATTAGTTAAATATAATTTACTTCCATATTTTTCATTTGATTTGCATCAAGGACATCTATAACTTATAATTGAAAACTAATTTTTTTCAAGATATAAAGACCAATTTCTTTCAAGGTGTAGTAGAGACTATTTAAATAGATTTTGTCTCTCCTAACAAAGTCTTCTCCATACACATAACTAAGAATTGAATCTTTTATAATATATTTATAGAAAATATTTTGTTGAGAGAAACAAGACTTGCTTCGATTATATCTTGGTCTCAAATAAAATTATTTTTCGATTCTTGACTGGGGATCATCTTAGTGAAAAAGAATCTAATTTACTTGTAAACTAATTATTTATACTACTGTTGTTTGTCTTGTTTAATGTATTACAATTACATTATATTAATATGTTTTACTTATAATAGAAAATGAATGATTTATAAAGCTTTGCCTATTCTTAATGAAATAGACACATATGCGTTTAATGAATTACATCTCCAATAGAAATATAGTTGTCTTCATCCGGTGTGTTTCATGGTTTGGGATAGTTGTATAGCATACATCAATCATAGTTTGTAGGAAAAGGGGGGAAGAGTTGTGTTTAGGATTTAGGAATGAACAGAAACGGAAGTTATTCATAATATTTTGCTATTATTTTCTTATCTTATATAAATTAAAATAATTATTTTTAACAAAAATATTTTAAGTGACTATATGCGATTACTGATTTTAATATTATTTCGTAAACCAAATTTTTTGTAATTAAATCCCACCCCACAAATCACTTTATCTTTTAATTAACCATTCGTTGTTTCATAATTTTCATTGTCTTTTTTTATTACTCCTATATTTCTTTTTAAAAAAACATAGAGGCATGGAATGCTTTTTTAATAATAAGTATAAATAGAGTGAAGCATAGGAACCCTAATGCAGAGTGTAGTTTGGTTGTGACTTGGGGGAGACAATGGAGGAGGGGAAATTGAGAGAGCTGAAGCAATTCATAGAGACGTGCAAATCCAATCCCTCGCTTCTCCATAACCCATCTCTTTCCTTCTTCAAAGCTTATCTTCTTAGGTTTGCTTTCTTCTCAATTTCCCTTTCAAGTTCCATTTTTTATTACTTTCACCCAACTCTCACTCACTTACTCTCTTCGCTGTAAAGCCTTGGTGCTCGCATCCCTCCCCAACCCAAATCAGTGAGTCTCCCCGTTCATTTTTATGCCTTGATACCATTGCTTTCTTCTTCTTCGTTCTATAACAACAAATGAATTTAGGGGTTTCCAGTTATTATTTATCACTCACGCCCTATGCAGGAACCAGGTGATTTTGATGAGAAGAAGTCAGATCCTCCTTTATCCGCTCAAGATGACATAATAGAATCTGATATAGAGTTGGATAATGCCGATGTTGTCGAACCCGATAACGATCCTCCTCAAAAGGTGTGTTATGTTTTGTTTGTATGCAGTCATTGTCAACGTCAAGTCATGTCATCCAAGTCTCAACAAATAGTAATTTAAATTTAATTGCAGATGGGAGACCCTTCTGTTGAAGTGACGGAAGAACAGAGAGAGGCTGCACAATTAGCAAAATCAAAAGCAGTTGATGCTATGTCACAAGGCAAACGCCTTTCCATTCATTATTGCTTACTAGTTTTGTCTATTTTTCTTCTAAAAAAAAGTCTCAATGTATGCTTATCCGTCAATTGCTTTTGTTTTTGTAATGCTTTTCCAGGTAACATCGATGAAGCACTGGACCAACTGACTGAAGCAATTTTGTTGAATCCACATTCGGCTATACTTTATGCTACTAGAGGTACTGTCTCTCTTGCTCCGCGTGTGCATTCCATTCCTACCAGAATCGAATGCCCCTTGCTAAATTTCTTTTCCCCGCTTTATTGTTTGTTTTACCTTCTGTATCATCTGGAAACCTTAATTTCTTGTTTTCAGCCAGTGTCTTTATGAAATTGAAGAAACCAAATGCTGCTATACGTGATGCTGACACTGCCTTGAAGGTTTATATATTCCTGACTTGTTGCATAGAAAACATGACAAAAGAAATTTCTGTGCCACGAGTGTTTGCACTCAAAAGGTATATTAATTGTTCCAGATTAATCCAGACTCCGCCAAAGGATACAAAATTCGAGGGATGTCAAGGGCTATGCTGGGACTTTGGGAAGAAGCAGCAAGTGACCTTCATGTGGCTTCAAGGTTAGATTACGATGAAGAAATTGATATGGCACTTAAAAAGGTAATTTTCATATACTACAGATGGAACCTGCAGAAGGAATCCTTGTTTTTTGTAATTGTATCTTTTGGCTGGACAGGTTGAACCTAATGCCCACAAAATTGAGGAGCATAGGAGAAAATATGAACGCTTAAGAAAGCTAAAGGAGCAGAAAAAAGATCCTATTAAGACCGAAGCTCCTATTAAAAAGGAGCAGGAAACTGAGGCCCAAGTAAGTATAGTGTATATTTTCCTTGATTGCATAATCTTTTTGATAGTTTGCCTTTGTGGGGTGCTATGTCCTGATACTCTAAAAATGCCAAAAGATCACACATGTATCTGATATTGGTATGCGTAGGATACTCCTTGATGCGTATACAAGTAGTATTCTCCATTTCTTTTTTATTTTATTGACTGATAAGTTTGAAATACAACTCCAATACTTTGAATAGGTCTAAAATTACCCACAATACTATCTTTTCCTATGTATTCTTAAAACTACAGTAAATATTAGGCAATAAAGTAGACCTGGGACTTCTGAGTAAGGCTAATAATGCTTTTTGTGACAATTTTATCATGGGTTTGGGGCAAAATTTTGTAAAATTTCATAGGAGAAAGAATATATTCTGATATGGCATGATCATGATCTTCCGTATAAGATTGTATGATTTTATGTTCTTGAGTACCTCCACATAGGATCAAACTTTGGTGAGGTTGTGTGAAATCGTTGTGTAAGATTGTGAAATTGGTGGGATCTTGTGTGGGATCTCATGCGTGATCCCACCAAACCTGGAAAAAAAAAACCTCTTATTTGAGTTATTTCAGCTTATAACCCACAGCCTGTTTGCGCACAGGTTGAAAACCCTAAAGTGGCCCAAATCTTACCCATTTTCAGCCACTCATATTTGAGAGATGACTACTGTTTGCAATTCACCTTTTGGTCCTCTTATTTTTTTATTTTATTTTATTCGTGTCCCTATTATTATTTTTTGTTTCATTTTAGTCCGTGACTCAGGGGGTTGCTGTTATGAAAATAATCTTCTTTTTAATAGGGACACAAATAGAAAGAAAAAAATTAAGGGGACCTTAAAAAGATGGGTGTATCATAGGGACTAAAACATATTTAAGTCCTGCCTTTTACCATTGTAACTCCCTTTTTTGATCCCAACTAAAATCTTGATTTTGTGATAGAAATCAAATTGAAACAGAACTTGAATGACTATTTATATTTAGGGAACAGTCCCTCCCACTAGAGGATAACTTTCTTAGTACAGTGAATTTTAAGACACGGTATGAATGAAGCACTGTTCCTTGCAATATGAAAATTGTAACATGCTACTTAGAACAATAAATGTTCAGAGAGAACCAGCTCTTCCCTTGACCACAAAACCACCTTGAACCACTTCGGTAATTCCTCCCCAAAGAATCCTTCTCTCTCCCCCTAGGATGTTTCCCACATCCCCATCTTCCATTCTTTTGCTGCCACTGGCAATTCTGTTATTTGTCTTTCCACTACTTTTCTCTCTCCCTGTTTGCCACATGTTTCTTTCTCCTTGCATACATGCTAGTTAGGCCCATTTTCCTCTTGTCGTACTCCCTTTTCCTTTTCTCTGCCTCTCCTTCGGTACACATTCATTATGGGTCTATCATTTTGACTTCCTTGTATTAATTATGTTATCCGAGAATAAGGGCAGAGAGAAAAACAAACTTAACTCAGCAGAGAGAAAAACACTCATGAAGCAACACACCACAACATATAATGTTTGGAAGCATTTGGTTAAAATTGAGAATCTCTTGGTCATGAGAAGTAGGGCTTTTGGACAAACCAATGCATTTTGCAATTTATAAGTGCAAATTGAACCATTTCTTGTGTCCATATATTGTTGGGTGGATGAGACTTGCACGTAATATTAGATGGTCTTACACGAAAGAATCATACTCAGAAAAAAACATCTTGAAAGGTTGAAAGAAGTTTGATTAGTTTAGCCAAAGCCTCTCAATCTATTGCCTTCAAAAAGACTTCTTACTACTCTCATTAGAACGTATAGTTTAAATATAGGCTTCTACATTATTTGTTTTCTCCTTACAAACTGGGTAAGAAGTAGAAATTTGCCGTTAAGTTGAATGCACAAATTGGATCTTAGCTCCTGTTGCTTGACTCTATGACCTTGCAAGATACTACTAGAGTTCTTTGTGTGACTGTCTGTGAATTATCTCAATGACTTACTAGTAATTTGAGAACAATTACTTTCTCTTTTTCAATTTCCACTCTTTTTCAATTTCCACTCTCCACAACATTTTTTATTTCAAAAATAGGAAAAGAATTCTAGGCATACTATGCAAGGTGACAAGTTCAGCTTGCTTTTAGATGAAATTTAATGTGTTGTTGGATTCGGTTGAGTTGAGTAAAAGACAACAAGTTTTATTCCTTTCTCATTGAGGAAACATGGCGAAAGGTTTTCAAGCTGTAGCCCAAGAGGCAAAGGTTGTTTGCCTTGCTCTCAAACTTGTCTTTTTCTATTGGGTTAAAGTCCTATATTGTTTCTATGTCTAACAAACAATTATTGTTGTTCATAGTACTTCTTGTATGTATTAACTTTACCACTCCTTTATTCCATATGCGAGTTTCCATTCACTTCTATTATACCAATGGTGATATAAAAAAAAATACATTGTGGTTGGAAGTACAAACCAATGCATTTTGCTGGTTACAAGCGCAAATTAGCCAATTTTTGGTCCCGTTGTTTGGTGGATGATACTTGTATTATTAGATGGATTTATATGATTAACTATCTAACCAATTACCACCTGGTTTTTCCCTTTAGCTAGCTGGAAGTAGAAGATAATCAATCTCAAGATCATATTTCAAATAACATTTGTCTAAAACTATTACCAACTAATTGAATTTATGATCTATTAGAATTCTAAGGATAAAACCTGAAATTTCTTACATAAAAAAAACGGAAAAAAAATAATTTCATTGACTTGTCTTAACACTTGCAAATGTGTTTTGTGCAATTAAAGGACATTTAGACAATCCTCCCGATCTGGTGAAAGAGTCATGTTTCATTTGTGTCTTACTTTTTTCTTTGCACACAAGAGACAAATAATAAGAGGCTCTCACAATGCATGGCTGATGGCTTCTTTTGTTGTTGTTGTTGTTTTTTTTTTTTTTCATTTTTTCCAATTGAGTTTTGTTTGTTATTATGTGTGTTGTTGCTCTTCTTCTCTCATTCGG